TAATAATAATAATAATAATAATAATAATAATGATAAATACAAATTTAGTATAAGAAACGAACAACGTTTCGATGCAGCTTGCATCGAAATCATAAAATAATAATAATAAKAAKAAGAAGAAGCATTCAGATTTGTTGGTGTGGAGACAAAATTCAAGTTAGAAATTTTGAAAGTCAATGGCGAGAAATTTTTTGGATCGTGGAAAAAATGTTGGAAGAGAATGGAAGTTACCGGATCAAGATTGGAATTACAACAACGAGGAAAAACAAATATCTGAAGAAAAAGAGCAACATTTACAAGGAGCAGGAAAACGAGTGCAGTACTTGGTTATAAATGTAACCTGGACCCTAGGAAAACAGCTGAAATTATCAACATTCAAGAACAGATGGTTGAGACTAGAGGCTGGAAACGCTTGAGAGGAATTGCAGTAGCAACAGATATGTGCAGGCTGTGCCCGTGGTCATAGAGAGACAGTACGCCATCTACTCGCTGGGTGCAAAGTGTTAGCAGGAACGGAGTATACTCAGAGACATAATAAAGCGCTGATGGTGCTTGCTATTGCATGGGTTAAACAAGCGAGCCTTGTATTAGAAGAGGCGATATGGTATAAGGAGGCATGGAATAGGGGACAGATCCTGGAAGGAAACGGGAAAAACCTTATGTGGGATTTCGAATACAACCTCAGAAAATATACCACGGCAAGAATACCAGACTTGACACTAGAAGATATTCCAAAGAGAAGCATGGCTAATAGACTTTGGCTAATAGACTTTGAATGCCGTCAAGAGGGTAAAATTCAAGAAAAGGAGAGAGAGAAATACCGAAAATATCGATGCCTAAATGTTTTAGGCCTTACAAAGTTATCAATCAAATAATAATACTAATAGTGATGATGATGATAATAATGATAACAATAATAATTGATATGCTCTTCCTTACCGTCGTATTTTGCCGAAAACCCATTTTTTCTCACTGACCCGTCGGTACTGAAAGTTATATACAGTTGATTTGAGGAACTTGTTATATAGGAAGGTAATGTGCTTCCACTGTAAGAACCAATTCGAGGAGACGAAGTGGAACTACCATCATAGACTCTAATGTGGTCACAGCAACTTTCTGTATTGAATGTCTTAAAGTAAAGACCGATATTAGTATTCGACGAGATAGTCCAATAGCAGTTCTGATTATCGCTGTAAGATCCTGGGTAGCCTGGTGACATGATCTCACCGCCTTGGGGARTAGTAGACTGGTGAAGGTTACCACAATTGTGGGAAGCGGACATTGAAATCGCTGAAATTGATAGAAAATAATGGAAATAATGAATTCAATGAACTTCACGCAACTAAAATAACCGCCAGACAATGTTCTATTATTAATATGTGGCCATAATTATCGTTACGGGAAAACAAAAAATTATGATAACCTGACATTCTAAAGTATTTTTTGCGTATATATAATAATAAGAAAATGATATTCCTGCTGCAATGGTGGCTGTTTTCATCAGAACTTCATTGTGGCTGAATATGGGTTGATTTTATTAAAAATACCATTGCAGGTGCGACCATCACCAACATATCCGTTATTACACAGGCACTTGTAAGATCCACGAGTATTTACACAACGCGCGTTAATATGGCAACCATGTAACCCAAGACACTCTTTGGCATCTATACAAAAAAATAAAAATAAAATAAAGTAATAATAATAATAATAATAATAATAATAATACCTTACAACAATAGCCAAGTGAATTCGATTCGAAAGATGAATGAAGAACATACAAGGGCGGACAGACAGACAGACAGACAGACATATTTTATTTGGCGTTTTGTACAAAGTTACACATCAACTTAGATCCAAATAAGTTACGAATATATACGTATGTTTATGTATGTGCAGAATATCTATATTCACATATTCTACACATATACGTCATACGTACATATATATTCTGTATATATAAATGTTCATATAATTATTTCGATAAGATGCGTTACTAATCCTAATCATCTTTATGCAATATTGTACAAGTATTGATTTTTATTTGTTTTGTTGTTGTTGCTTTTTTTCACTACGCAGAGCAAAACAATCATAAACGTATTTTGCTGCAACTGATTGTAAAATATGGGGAGGATCTATTAACTTCAGGAACAATTGGTCCTCCGTAAGGGTGTTACTTATGTTATTTTGCATAAGAAATTCTTCTCTAAGTTTAGAGTATAGAGGACATTTAATTAGGAAGTGTCTTTCATCTTCTATTATATCAGTACAATGAAAGCACTTCCTTTCCTCTACCTTCTTGTAACTAGAGTATCTGCCTCTTTCAA